AAGAAGTTGGATCCGGTAGGTGTACGGTACTTTGAGCTCCGGGATGGTATATACTATTGACATTTACGAGTCTCAGACTTGTCAGGAATAATCCTAACCAGGGTGGAGCCCTCGATCTGGAGGGAGGGAATGAACTCCCTAGGACACGCACTGCAGCCTGTAGCTTCAGGTTAGCTTCAGGCCAGGTAGCGATTACGCCGATGGACATTAAGTAACAGACAAAATGAGTTTGCGCACTGCCACCTCAGTCTGAACGCTGGCTTTGGCGGGGCAAGAACTACTTCAGTGAGCTCAGTGGAAATGGATTAAGCAGCTCAGAAGTGGAGAGTTTTGGGGGGGGGACCATGAGAAAGCCTTAGGAAGTGAATGCCGAGGCCTGGCCCTGGAAGGCTGCAGAGTGATTTGTGGTGATGACCCCAGAGGAGGCTTGGAAGCCAAGGGTGGACATGCCAGGCCTTCAGGCTGTCTGTCTGTAGCATGCTCTGTGACATCTGGTATGTCACAGAGCTTCTGTTTCCAAGTCATTCGTTTGGCTGATTCATTGCTTCAGCCTATTGTACCTCTGAAGACTTAAAAACCGAGGCACATTTTTTGCTTCCGGGAACGTGGGCTCAAGCCCAGAGGGACTAAAGAGATGAAGTAGAAAAAGTCTCCCCAGTACTGGGCTAGTTTCAGGACAACCCAGTCCCACTGTCAGGAGAGGAGCGAGTTCTGGACCTAGGCACACTTTCAGGATACCCCAGAGGGTTTTCAGGATTGTTTTTGAGGTATTTTCATTTCTGCATGTAAATATTCTTTTAGTAACTTTTTTTCTAATTACAAAAGTAATGCATACTCAGTGTAAAGACACTTGGAAAACAGCACACCACAGAAAAAAGCCCTCTGTTGTCTATGGACCATCTGGAGACAGCCACTGCTAACAACTTGGTTTAGGCCCTTTACCTGCACAGGTACCACAAACATAGATACATACATATTTACATAGTTTCAGCAAAACTTTACTAAGGCTGTGAAATGGCAGGATTTGAAAGATATGAAAGAGCTGGCTTTTCTCACTTAATAAGCATGTCATGAATATCTTCCAAATCAACACTGGTTTTAATGGCTACATGGTATTCTCCTAGCCCTTGTTTTGGACGTCTGGATGATTTCTGATTGTCTGCTATTAAATATCTGTTACGTGCATCTCAGCACTTCTTTCTGCTTATTCCTTAAGGGGTCGATTCCTAGACGTGGCTTGCTGGAGTAAGGCGCACGTGCACATCTTTTAGGTCCTCCCCCCACCTGTTTTACCATTCACATTCTCACCAGCAAAGAGGACATGCCTGTTTTCTTATACTCGGGGCAGCATCAACTTCTGTGTTCAGTTTTGGTTATCTTCTTTTTGGGGAGAGTTTCTAAGGAACTTTCTTAACCAAGGGACTCAGCTGGTCACGCCTGCCTTGCAGTCACTGGTTGACCCCGGTACTCCTGTTTTTCCCGGGCAGAGTGGCACCCTGAAGACGGCCCTCCTGGACTACATAAAACGTTGCCGCCCTGGGGACAGTGAGAAGCACAACATGATCGCTCTGTGCTTCAGCATGTGTCGGGAGATCGGGGAGAACCACGAGGCGGCTGCCTGCATCCAACTGAAATTGATCGAGTCCCAGCCCTGGGGTGAGCACAAGTCACAGCAGTGCTCCCGGGCCAGTGCCACCCCCCAGCCCAGGTTCTAAGGGCTGAGGAGAGGCAGGAGACCAGGAGACCAGTCTCCATGGTGGCTGCTCATAGCCACTCGTGGAGCAGGCGGGAGGCAGAATGGGATGTGGAAGGCATCAGCCCCGTCTGCAGTCTGTGCAGCTGGGGTGTCCTCAGTCAGGAAGCAGTGTGTCTGCTGAGGCCATGCAAGCCTGCCTTGATATTTCTGAGAATTGGAGGAGGCCTACCAGTGTGTGCACACTTCGGCCCGGTAGCCTTTACCTGAGCAAGCTGTACCTGCCTCCCTGAGCGAGCGGGGGCGGGGACGTTTCCAGTCCAGCCCACATCACTGACTGGGATGGGAGCAGCCTTGGGAGTCACACACCTGGTGGGTTTCCCTCTCTATTGCAGAGGACAGCCTCAAGGACGGGCAGCATCTGAAGCTGCTGCTGCTGAAAGCCCTGACCCTGATGCTGGACGCGGCGGAGAGTTACGCCAAGGTAACAGCAGATCCTATTCCAGTGCAGCCTTAGGATGCGATTTTGTCCCTGGGCTTTTCCAAGTAAAGGGGTAGACTGGGGGCAGAAGTTCAGTTGCTGGAAGAATCACAGGGAAGATGGCAACCGTCTTTCTTATCTATGCCTACTCTACCTTTGTTCCTCAGGACTCCTGTGTGCGACAGGCCCTGCACTGTCACCGGCTCACCAAGTTGATAACACTGCAGATTCACTTTCTGAACACGGGCCAGAACACGATGCTCATCAACCTGGGCCGCCACCGGCTGATGGACTGTCTCATGGCTCTACCTCGGTTCTACCAGGTGAGCAAGGAAGGGAAACCTAGCCAGCATCCTCTCCTGCTGTCCCTCTCCCGGGGCCCATAGGTTGAGTGACTTGCCTGAGGCGTCAAGGCTAGTGACAAAACCAGGGCAGTTCTAAGCTTTTAACTTGAACTGTCTGATAAATCAGATTCCATGGCAGTGTTAATTAGTATATTGTTTGGGCAGAGGTTGGAGGATGGTGAGGCCGGGCGGTCTCTTTTCCTGCTCTACGAGGCCAGGGACAGGGAGACAGCCTTGCTGCTCACACAGCTGGGGCTGGAGCACACCTGCTGGCGGGCTGAGCATCTCCCAGCCCCACTGTTTCTAGGATGGTGCACCTGGGGTAGCAGGAGTCAGGGCTTTTGGGAGGCTGGCATTTAGCCCTTGAATGAGAAATGGTTACCAGGGAATCAGCCCTTCCCCTGTTCCTTACACAGTTGCGTTAGGGGGAAAAATACTGTTTCTCAGCAGTTTTTATTAATGCGTTGTGAAGATTAACACTGCAAGATGGGGTTTAAGGGCAGAGAAATGTCGAACATCAAACTTTTCCCCAAGGCAAATACATAGACCCTATCAGCATAATTGGTGATGCCCACACTCACTGCGAATGCACAGTACTGTGTTCTAGAACAGCTTGCCTTCAGTTTTACATCAAATAGGGCCTTAATGGTATCTTCCCCTCTATCCTTTTAAGGCTTCTATTGTGGCCGAGGCCTATGACTTTGTTCCCGATTGGGCAGAAATCCTCTACCAACGAGTGATTCTTAAAGGAGACTTTAATTACCTGGAAGAATTTAAGCAGCAAAGATTATTAAGATCTAGTATATTTGAAGAGATTTCCAAAAAGTAAGTATTAAAATGCCTCTGCTTTGAGTAAGGCATGGGTAAGAACTTTATGGCTAAAGAGAACATGCCTATAGATACCTCTGCCTGAGATGGCAGATGTCAAGGATCCCCAGAAGCAAGAGATCATTTAACAAAGTCATGCAGACAGACGGAGGAGAACGGTGTCCTCACAGTGCTCTGTATTTAAAATGGGAGGATAGCTACTCAGCCTGCCTGAGGTACCGACAACCCTAAACCTCAGGAGCCCCCTTGGGAGTACCGCACTTACTCCAAATAAGGCGAGCATGAAGGTAACATTTTTAATGAAAATAATTTCAGTGTTTATCTAGTACGCCCTAATACTAGTCTTAAATAATTTCTCAAATTCCAGGATCCTCTCTAAGTAGCTGTGTCAGTGACAGGACTCACTACAAATGCAGGATTGTAACCCGTACATTCTTATGTTCGTCTAGATACAAACAACATCAACTGGCTGACACAGCTGTGAAAAACCTGAAGAAGTTACTCACATACTGTGAAGATGTCTACCTATATTACAAGCTCGCATACGAACACAAATTTTTTGACATTGTAAATGTGCTGCTGAAGGACCCTCAGACTGGCTGCTGTCTGAAGGACATGCTAGCAGGTTAGGTGGATTCAGATGACAGGTGGGTGGTTATTGTCGAGATGTCCTAGGCGCCTATTTTCTGGTACTGAGATGAGGTACTGACAGATGTTTGTGATCAGAGAAAGATAATGCATTGGGGATATTTGTTTTCAAGTTGTAAAACCCCAGGACTGACCATAACCAGTCCTTTGTGAATAGTGGGTAAAGAATGAGAGAATTTTCACAAGGAAATTATTTAAAAGTGATTGTTCATCTATACCACTTTATATAGATATTGGTATTAAGATCAAGAGCTCCATCTTCCTGAAGTCTGGCTTCTATTTAGAGATACAATATTGATTAAAGAATACCTGTGCCTGCAGATTCCAGTTTCAAAGGAATTTAATATTATTTACACAGTTAAGGAACAGATGATACATTTTCATTTGTTAGAAACTGATCTCTATAATAAAATAGATTTTAAATTCACTGTATGTCATTATTACTGCCAAGGAAATCTTAGCCCTTGTCTGCCTTAAAATCTTTATTTGCTGTAATTATTGCTGTGTAGTAACTGCTTTCTGTTAACTCCTCAGATCACTCAGATGGTCCTTTCTTATACTCAGTAGTCTAACAGAGCTTTGATTGAGGTTGCTAATTCCTATTTAAGAGAAATTTAAAACATCTTTTTGTTCTGCCCCTGCTTTTGATTCTCTGGTGGTTTCAAAAAAGACTCCAACCACAAATTTGGTTAAATTGTTTAACAGAAAATATATAATAAAGATCACCCAATCTGTGCTTACAGCCATAACCTGAGTAACAAGCTCAGTTACTTCAAATAAATAAGCTCTTCTAGTTACTAATTTGCCCAAATAAATAAGAAGAGGAAGGCAGCCCTATATCTCTGTTGCTCTAGGGTGACACTATTCAGGGCCTGGCACATCATTTTTGTCTTAAAGCCGTAACTGCTCATTAGGCATTTACTAACGTATACAGAGAACTCTAGTCCCAAGAGCTGGGTTCTGTACCCTCGAAAACTATCTCTTGGGAGTTAACACAAAATTTAAGTCCTCACAGTAGTGATTTTATTAAATTAGTTGCTTTTATAAAACATTGCAGATGTCATAATTGTTAACATAACAATTTACCAAACTGTAGTCAACTGGTGCAGTTTGCTGAGCATGTTTTATAAAGGAAAGGAAATGCCAAAACCCTGTTAAAGTTATTCCACTGCAGCCTAAGAGAACAAAGGAGAATTGTCACTTAAATCAGGGAAATAAAACAGGTAAAGAGCTTCCCTCCCCCATCTGAAGCACTCCATCCGTAGAACAGTCTGATAAATAGGAACTAGACAGTCTATGCATTCAAGAGATTCCACAAGTTGTAATGCAGTGCAATAATGGAGAGGTTTACCTTCTTCAGCTTCAAAGTTGGAGGGTTTGGTCATTTAATTTTTAAATATCAAGCTAGTGCTTTTCAGCTGTTGTATCTTCACTCTGAGATAAGCAGTCTTCTTCACAATGTATTTTTTTTAATATCCTCACGCTCAATTTTAAGACAAAGCAATTTTAATACTAGGTGCACACCACATGCCCTTGCCGCAAACTGCTTTTCTTGACAAGTTATGAAGTAGTTCAAGGAGGTATGGTTAAGGCTGTATTACTGAATGGTGCTGGTAAATACTACACAATTTTTGTCATGTTGCAACCTTTGTTTCCAATTCAGTGACTGCTGCTATGGAATCAGAGCAACAATGACAACATTATTAGGTTTTTGTGTTTTGTTTTTTTCTTTTTTAAACTATGATTTAGTAGCGACTGAGGTTCCCAATTTTAACCCCTTGGCAGCAAGATCCAAGTTCCCTCATTCGCACATTAGCACCTAAGTGTCAAGGGGTTAAATAACCAGCACAAAAGATACTGCACTTCTGATTGTAGCATTTGGCAGAACTGAAAGGAAAGGAAGTTGTGCTACATGTTGAAGGGATTGTGGGCAACAGAAAGAAGACACCAGGAGAAGAGAAAATGTCACATGAAGTCTTCATAGTCTTGTACATATCCTCCATCATAGCCACCGTAATCTGCCAGATCGTCTTTCATGGTAGCCTTTAATCCCCCTCCAGGGACCACACCTTTCTTCTTCTTTTTGGCTTTGCTTTGCTAAAGACAAAAGAGAGTGAATTTATGAGCCTACCTACTGGGAGTATCTTTTCTGGTACAGAGACCCTCAGATACCAAAAGAAGCCTCTGGTACCAAAAAGCTTTAGTTCTCAAAGGGAGATCCCAGACCCTAACCCTGGGCAATTTCTATTAATTCCCAAAAGAAAACCATGAATGTGTCTATAAACAAGAGGATGGTAATGGCACGCACTCCTGCTCTGTTCCAACATAAAGCTTTAGTTCAGGCTCCTACTACACTTGTTCAGAATATTATGCCTATATCCCCGTCCTCCTGGAATATGCATTTCCTCCGCATGCTTGTTCTTACCTTTTCTTGCTTTTGTTTTTCACTGCAAAGCACAGTCAGTGAATTGGTAATCTTTTTCAAGTCATCAATTTCCACTAAGGGAAAAAAAAAAAAAAGCAATACCACATCTAATTTGGCCATGATTAATTTCAGTAGCTTTGGAAAGCCTATGAATTTGTCCTGTTAAACGTAAGACGGTAAAGAATCATTCAGTCTATGGTTAGGTCCACAAATCAGAACTACTTAAATTTCTTTATAATAACCTGTAATAACCAAGACACCATCATTCAAAGAGAAAGGAAAAATGTCTTCAGAGCTCACAGTGCTCCCTACCATACTTCCTTACTCAATCTACGCACATGAATTGGGGGTGGGGGGACCATATAGAAGATTACTATTCCTTTCCACAACAAGTCCTCAAATGCGCAGTAAGGAGTGGCTAAATGAAGGTGGAACGAGTCTTATGACAACTTTCCACCCCTTGGGGTCTCCATTTTCAACCAGAGGAACTAGAATGAAAATAGTAGGCGCCTCAGAGATCTCTGTGTCCCACTGGAGACAAGCCTGTTTACAGGACAACACATCCTTCCATCCTTAGAGAAATATCAAGCTGGAAACAGATACCAGTTTTCAGCTACCAAAAAAGTGTTTCAGTTTTCATTTGAGAGCACCTTCAAAAATAGGAGGGAAAAAAGTACATGCAAATAAAATACCAGCCATGGGTATATCACTGATCAAGTTCAGAACCTCCAGTGTGGTAAAGATTTCTCAAGGAAAACCCAGTTTAAAGTTCACTGTGTAGAATTCCTTTTTCTCAATCTTAACCACAGCAAATACCAGCAAAAACAGTCCCTTCCACACTAGTGTCACTCCACCCCTGGTTTTTAACTCCCACACACCCTGCCTCTGAAATGTAGGACTCTGAGGGCATGGCACCACACCAATGGACCCAAAGAATAGGGACCAGCTCTGCTGAGCAACTTAAACCAAGTCACAGGCTTCCTTGTTTGTAAAAGGAAAAGACATTTGCTGTGGTTTCCCTCAGGTCTAAAATTCCATACACTCAGGGATCATTTTCCCCAAAAGATACTTCCGAGTCCCTTTAAGATATAATTAGATAAAAGAAGAAGCTAGTATTTTGTTAGCTGCTGGGTCAGCAAAGCTCAGATGTCCCTTTTGGGAAGCCATTTTAAAAACATGAAGAGGGCCGCCTCAAAAAACAAAACCACTCATGCTTTTTGCAGAACATTCCCAAGGTAACTTCTAAAAATCAATCCTACGTTTATTATAGAATGCGTAAAAATAGTCAACCTCCATCCTCCTGAGTATGATGTGCCCTTCCTAAAATCTACCCACAAAGATAGAGATTAGAATTACTTACATGAAATACACACATCTCGAACTAAGGCTTCCAAAAAACTGGCATAATATAGTGACTTTTCATATTGTGTAATTTTATCTTTTAGTAACTTTCCAAACTCTGTGAAGTCATCTCTTGAAGATGGGTTCATTGCATCTATTCCATAAACAGTATTATTAACACCTGCAGGAGAAGAGGAAGCACTAAAAATATCAGAAAGGGTTTTTTTTTCACATTTATAAACCAACTAGATAGCTGAACTACCCGGTTACTTCATGCTAAAGCACAGGTTCTTAACATAGGTCCACTGGAGTCCTTGGACAGCAATCAGGAGGTATGTGAATTTGGATCAGAAAAAAATTTATAGCTTTATTTTCACTAACCTCTAATTTAGCATTTCCTTTCATTTTGATTATAGGCAACGATTCACAGTGATATTAGCAAAACCTGTTACCAATAAAAGATCAGGTATTTTCATATCACATTACAGGTGTAGTTATCCTGAAATAATGTTTTCAAATTATATTACTTACTAGATCTGACACTGGCTCTTAGTTAATGCATTAATAAGCACATTCTTACTGTATCTCAAGTTATTTTAATATTTTGATACCTATTTCAGTAGGCTTCCTCACTAAGTAAAGCCCTATGTATTTTATTTTATGCATTTAAAAACATATTAAGAACAGACCCATAGTCTTTAGCAGACCACCAAAGGAGTCCTTGGCACAAAAGGGATGCTCTTAAAGCATAGGTCTAAGAAGAGCCCACAGGAAAGTGCAGAGAGAAGGAAAATGCAAATAAATTAAAGATGGTTCCCGTGAAAGTATCCAGCTAACTGACTCCAGAGGCAAAGCAGGGGTAAACCATGTGTTAAATCCCAAAGGAAAAATAAATCTGGCCTAAAAGGATTCTAGGCTAAGAGACAGTACATTCTATATCCTCCTCAACAGTAAAGCGAATTAGTTGTTAACAATATCACTGATTCAGTATTTCAGCATGAGAAACACAACATTAAAACCCTATTAACCAAATGATGCCTGTATGAATGCATATTTTTGCCTTTTAATCTATAATTGTGGTCCCATATTAGAATTTATGGGTACCAGGTAAACTCTTCTCTTTAATAAACATATGGGTGGCTTATTACCATCCTATGAAGACACTGGATAATAGCTGCAACGCCCTCTGTAATGAGATGAGTGCAGCTAAGACATGCTGAGCACACACCAGAGTACAGGAACATCACAGCCGCTCCTCTGAGATTGCTGGCAACTCATGGAGAGAAAAATCACACCTCCCGCAGAAAGGAGAAGGATCATTATAGCCTGCTTGATCCATTTTAAAAAAGACGGAGGGGGTAAAAATCAAGATAACTATATCCTTCTTAGCTCTAGGTTTCAATTTCAAAGTTATTTAATGTTTCAACATGATCTTCTACTCTGAAAAGTACTCAATAGGTAACGACAACAATGAGCTTAAACAAAGTGAGAGCTTTTATCTGTTTCTTTGGCCATGTTTCTTAGGCCATGTTTCTTACTTTACCCTTTACCCCTAGCACTCTGAACTCAACTGGGCACAAGACCCTAAAGTATCTTTTATCTCATGTACCAACCACAGCTGCAAGGGTGGCACAAAGAAATGGAAGCCCTCCAAAGACAGGGCATGGTGAGGGCCAAGAAGGGTCACAGAAAGAAATGACCCTGAGCAAAGGCACAGCCCTATAGTCAGTTCGAAATTTAAACCTCAAAGCTACAAGCCTCACATTTCATCCAACTTTCATCCAGCTGATAAATATATTTAAAGCAGTAGTATACTCTATTTGGGTCCAATGACTTAATAATCTTTTACTTGATACTCAAAACAATTTTTCAAAAATCTGAACATGTATCTCACTCGACCTGAAGCAATGAAATCTCAAATATAAACATTAAAAACTACTTTCTAATATCTAAGCCAATATTATTATTTCAAAAAAGTATATACTTTCTAAATTTTAGTATTTGGTAACATTTCCACATTATTCACCTGGAACTTCAATACTTCACTGCAATCACCAGCACTTACCAAAAGTTTCTTTTGCTAATTCAAGGTCTGATTCTTCCTGTAATTTCTTTAGTCGCAGTTTATCTGCTAATTGTTCTTCTGGTGTTAGCACTTTAGGTTCTTCAGGTTCTTCTAACTAAAATTAAGACAGAAAGGAAGTTTTAAAACAGCGGCATTATGAAGGACCAGTACACTTTTGTATTGTGTGAATTTTTTTTATAAATAATATACACATATAAATAATAGCAAACACTTATAAAGTGTTTATTGTATTTCAGGAATCCTTATAGACACTTTAGATATTTCTTTTTAAGATTTATTTATTTGAGGGGTGCCTGGGTGGCTCAGTGGGTTAAAGCCTCTGCCTTCAGCTCAGGTGATGATCCCAAGGTCCTGGGATCGAGCCCCACATCGGGCTCTCTGCTCAGCAGGGAGCCTGCTTCCCCTCTTCTCTCTCTGCCTGCCTCTCTGCCTACTTGTGATCTCTATCAAATAAATAAATAAAATCTTTTTTTAAAAAAAGATTTTTTATTTGAGAAAGAACAAGCAAGCACGAGGCGCAAAGGGAGAGAGAATCTCAAGCAGACTCCATGATGAGTGAGAGCCTGACATGGGGCTCAATCCCACGACTCTGAGATCACGACCTGAGCTGAAACCAAGAGTCAGATGCTTAAGCAACTGTGCCACCCAGGCACCCCAATACTTTAGATATTCTTACCCTGATTTTACATGAAATAAAATACTAGGCGCAGAGAGGTTAAGCAACCTGTCCATAGTAACAGAAGGTTAACACAGCTGGTAATGTGAGAGAATGGGTTTATTTCCAAAATAGCCTTTTGAAAAAATATGGAATTGAGACTATAGAAAAGGGAAAGATTGCACTTTCATATTCTTCTGCTAAAGACCACATTTTGAAACAACCTTTCTAGGGCAACTTGGAAATATGTATGAAGTCTTAAAATACTTTTATATGATTTATATGGAATCAAATAATTCCACTTCTAGTTATTTATCTTAAGAAACCAAAGATGCACACAAACATTTAGCCACAAGGCGGTCCAATGGAGCATTACCTATAATTTCAAATACATCTAGAGACAACCCAGATGTTTCAACAACAGAAAAGTTAAAGTATAGCACATCCATATGACAATACAGATGACCCCTTGAATAACACAGGCTTGAACTGCATGGGTCCACTTAGTCACAATTTTTTTTTATAAGTATAGCATATTAAATGCATTTTCTCTTTATGATTTTTTTAAAAGATTTATTTATTTGAGAGAACAAGCAGGAGGGGCATAAGGAGAGAGAATCTGAAGTACACTCAGTGCTCAGTATGGAGCCCGACACGGGGCTGGATCTCATGACCCTGAGATCATGACCTGAGCTGAAACCAAGAGTCCAGTCAGACACTTAACCAACTTACACCACCCAGATGCCCCCTCTTTATGATGTAGTAACGTTTTCCCCCCCTCTAGTTTACTTTATTGTAAGAATACAGTATATAATACATACAACCACAAAATTATGTGCTATTTACGTCAACAGTAAGCTATTAGTAGTTAAGTTTTGGGGGAGTCAAAAGTTGTATGTGGATTTTCAACTGTGCAGGGAGTCAACACCCTTAACCCTCATATTGTTCAAAGGTCAACTGTACCACACAGACATAAAAAATGTTCTTTTTTCAATGAATCATAAAAAGAATTTATCTTTTCCTATTGTTACTATTATAAAAGTAACATTATCTGGCTCCTGGGTGGCTCAGCTGGTTAAGTGTCTGCCTTCATCTCAGGTGGGATGAGTTCCCTGTCGGGCTCCCCACTCAGTGGGGAGTCTTTCTCCCTCTCCCTCTGCTTCTCCCCCCGCCCCTCCGCTTGTGTGCTTTCTCTCACATAAATGAATAAAATCTTTAAAAAAAAAAAGTAGGGGCGCCTGGGTGGCTCAGTGGGTTAAGCCGCTGCCTTCGACTCAGGTCATGATCCCAGGGTTCTGGGATCGAGTCCCACATCGGGCTCTCTGCTCAGAAGGGAGCCTGCTTCCCTCTCTCTCTCTCTACTTGTGATCTCTCTCTGTCAAGTAAATAAATAAAATCTTTAAAAAAAAAAAAGTAACATATTATCATTTATTAACAAATTTAAACACATACAATACAACTTACTGCTTATTTCCCAGTCCTAGTCCTCTGAGATGCTAGTTAATGGTTTGGTGAATATCATTTCTTTATGCTATGATGTTGCCTACAACAAATGCATTTTACTATGAGGGAAAATCTGTGACAGTATTTACTGAAGTGGGAACAAAGCAGAGGGAGCTTGTGCCATTTGTGGTCATCCATGTCCATGCAGTTTACAAGATTCTGATTCAGAAGTCCACTTCTATAATACACAGGATTTTGTTTCTCATGAAGAAGATGAAATAAGAAATGTCATTATGCCAAGTTAAAGAAATCTCAGACTATTTCTCAGGGAAATATCGTGACTTAACCATCTTCGTAGATCTAAACATCGTTAAGTATTTCCTGCATCAAAACTGAACATATCTTAACTCAATACTTGACCTAAGACAAACTATCTAAGGTTCCTTTATGTTGGAGACTAATACCAAGATACAAAAAAGTAGTACAGGGATGCCTGGGTGGCTCTGTCGGTTAAGTCACTGCCTACGGCTCAGGTCATGACCCCAGAGTCCTGGGCTTGAGTCCTGCATTGGGCTCCTTGCTCAGCAGGGAAGCCTGCTTCACTCTCTGCCTCTGCCTATGTTTGCTCTCTCTCTCTCTCTGACAAATAAATAAATAAAATATTTTCAAAAAAGGTATAAATCTTAATTTCAATGACCAAGAAAGACCTAATCAAGATGGTGTCTTAGACTGAGTTATAAGATTCTATTACTTGTTCTGATCATAGAAACACACCTGTGGATATATTTAGATACACAAATACAAATTATTAAAAAGTACCTAAAATGTTCCTAACTGGGGGATGCAGGCACTCTCATACATTGTCAATGGCAAATGCAAACTGGTACAATGCCATACACAGGGCAATCTGGGAACATTTATCAAGACCACAAGTATGATTTGCCCTTTGACCCAGCAATCTCTCATTTGGGAATTTATCCTGCAAATGTGACTACACCCATCAGAAATGACAAACACATATGGTTATTCATGGAAGTACTGTTAATCAAGTAAAGGACTAGGAGGAAAAAAATCTAGCTGTCCCATCATTCGAAGACTGGTCAAATAAAATATGGTGCATTGAGGCAATGGAATACCATACAGCTACAAAAAAAAAAAAAGGATAAATAAACCAAAAACTAATAAAAATGGTTTCTTATAGGAAGTGTCAGGGAACAGGATAAAGAGGATAGAGTAAGAATGGATGTCTGAGACTTTTCTGAGTGTATCATTTCGGTATAGTTTTGACTTCTGAACACATTTCATGTTTAAAGGATAAAGTTAAATTAAAAAGAAAAGAAAACCTTAAAAATGGAAACAAAATGACTCTAAAATGTATATCAAAATATACAGGGAAAATAATACTAATGACTTTAGAACCCAGGACCTAATTCTACATCCTTAGTAGGAAATATTCTAAGCCCAAAAAGAACTGCAAGGAAATCCTAAACTTGATTCAGTAGCTTTACATTGTTAGTATTACTGGTATTGTAGAAAAGCTAATAAAAATTATGTTAACAGTATCAGAAACCAGTATTTTCAGAATAAGAGAAAACATCAATATGAACTAATGCTTATAGACACAACACATATAAACACACACTCTCATGTACATTTATGAATTTCCTAGCTTCACCCATAAAAAAGGGTCTAGAAAGCCACCTCAGTGAGTCCTACTAGCAACTAGATTTGGCCACTTAATATCATTTCCAACTAAAAAGAACCATAAAAGTAGTAGCTGATTCCACGCCTAAAGAAGAGAGTTTACCAGGTGAGCCCAACACTTCTTACTGTCAGAAAGCAAGGAATTTTTCAAAGATTCTGTCAAAAAGATGAAGTTTCAACAACTTAAAGGGTTTCCTACTGGATAAAGCTTGTGACAATTTGGGCATCAAAAAACTAATTACTATATCTGAGTAAAACAATGAATTTATAAAAACCTATAGATCCACAAATTTACTCAAAAAGAAACTGACAGGGCACCTGAGTGGCTCAGTTGGTTAAACGAACACCTTCGGCTCAGGTCATGATCCTAGAGTCCCGGGATCAAGTCCCACATCGGGCTTCCTGCTCAGCAAGGAATATGCTTCTTCTGCCACTTACCTCTCCTCTCATTCTCTCTCCCTCTCTCCCTCTCAAATAAATAAATAAAATCTTAAAAAAAAAAAAAAAGAAGAAGAAGAAAAAGAAGAAACCCACAAAAATCCCTCATTTTTCACCATCTGAAGTATTTTTACACAATCTCCTGAGTCTGAAAAATTGGTAATTAAAACAATTAAGCTTTTACTCTTCCAGCAAAAACCATATCCAAAGTAACCAAACAACACAGTTTCTTACTTTTTTCCTTCTTGGGGCGGGCGGGGGGGGGGGGGAGCCAGCCAGTAATAAATGGAAGAGAAATCAAAGGATAAGAAAAATCACCATTCTGCAATCCCTAATAACACTAGGCAACAATCATCACTAATACTAAACAAATGGGTGAGAGGCTAACGTCAAACTGTATTACTTGCAAGGATATCTAAGTTTATAATAGAAGGATGTTACCACCTTAACCGAGTGATCAATTTTAGCATCGCTAATAATAGGACAGACATTATGTGACTCCTGGTGTGATGTGATGCAATATGAAGCACACAGCATGACCTCTCAAGGATTCCAACTAAAAATGTTTAATCTGAATCCAATTCAACTTTTAGACTTATCTGCCAAGTTACAGGAAACTGACTATAATTAGACTATAAGCAATCAGACAAATCAAGAAGATGGGATGTTTTATAAGACAACTGGGCTCCTCTCTTCAATACGGCAATGTCATTTTAAAGAGAGAGAGACATTCCAGAGACTTAGGATGTGTTAACTCATGTAATGCAAGGTCCTTGTCTGAACAAACCATACATAAAAGACATTTGGGGACAATCAGAAAAATGCATACAAACTGAATACTAGAAGATGTTAAAAAATTACAGTTCACTTTATTAGGTATGTAATCATGTGAGAAATAGCTTTGCTCTTTCAGAGATGCATACTAAAGTATTTCAAGATAAAATGCAAAATGTCTGTTACGTACTTGATTATATATTTTTTTTAAAGATTTTATTTATTTATTTGAGAGAGAGCACATGAGCGAGGAGAAGGTCAGAGAGAGAAGCAGACTCCCCGTGGAGCTGGGAGCCCGATGTGGGACTCGATCCCGGGACTCCAGGATCATGACCTGAGCCGAAGGCAGTCGTCCAACCAACTGAGCCACCCAGGCGTCCCTTGATTACATTTTTTAAAAGAGATTTTATTTATTTGACAGAGAGAGACACAGCAAGGGAGGGAACACAAGCAGGGGGAGTGGAAGAGGGAGAAACAGGCTTCCTACCAAGGAGGGAGCCCGATGCGGGGCTCGATCCCAGGACCCTGGGATCATGACCCAAGCTGAAGGCAGACACCCAACGACTGAGCCACCCAGATGCCCCTTGATTACATTTTAATAACAAAAAGAGTTAATGAATGAGGCAAATATGGCAAATATCAGCAACTGTTAAACTCAGGTGACATATACGATTATTCACTTTCTCTATTTCTATGTTTGAAATTTTTCTGAATGAAAAGCCAAGAAAAAAATAAAAAACTCTATAATCTGATATGAAAAGATTAAATACATTAAATGATATATTAAATAAAGTAAGGTGAAAACTATAAAAATTTTAAAAAACTTAAGAAAAGCATGGAATAAAGGGGTGGCTGGGTGATGGGCACTGGGGAGGGAATGTCCTATAGTGAGCACTGTGAAATGTGTTAAGACTGATGAATCAGACCTGTACCCCTGAAACAAATAATACATTATATGTTAATTTTTTAAAAAAGCAAGGAATAAAAATATATAGGAATATCCAAATACATAAAGATACCTCAGTGATGTAAGAAACCGAAATCACTTAAGGGATAGAGGGAGAAAAACAGGATAAATAAATGAAGAGTTGGGAGTTCTTCTTACCATTGTTTTTTTAATCATGTAAATGTATTTTCTATTAAAAAAATTAATACAGTATTCCTGATCGTCCTCCAAATAATCAGGAACAAAAACACCATATGGTACATGGCAGAGAAATGGATACTTTCTGTATTTCACTCAATTATGTACACCACAAATAAAGACTAATCACAACTAGTAAGAACTGCAGGCACTGGCAAAAATCACTGACTGTGGTACTACACAATCATGCCTGTCCCAAATGTTTGTGGAAACTTAAAAGGCATTCTAAAACATAAAACTTCTGGGTTAGCTTTTTGCAAAAACCACAAATTCAGTTTGGGGATTCACTTACCTGACAGTGTCCATTAACAGTCTTTACAAAGCCCTTCAGATTGCCAGGTAATATTTGCTGTCTGTTAAGACACTGTACCACTACTGATGTGAGAATTCTGTATTGCAGGAAATGAATGGTACTTACCCTCTTTTTAATTTCTTCTTGCCTTTTCTTCTGTTGCCGTTCTTTCTCTTTTATTTTCTCTGCTATTTTTTTCTTCTCTGAAACTTTTACTTCTGAAAGAAATGTTTTAATCAGTTACCCTGAATATTTTCCAGTTTATGGATGAGACAGACATACAACACTTCTATACTTCAAGAGACCAACTTCTCCCAGTTCGTGATTTATAGGCAAATAAGAATGGGAAAGTTCTGGGACTCTTCCTTTCTCCTCTCTGATCTGATCCTTAAGGCCCAAACACCTCCCTTCATTATTTCTCCAGCACTTTCAGCAGGATTTAGATCATTAAAATATGAGGCCACACCCTCTACTCTCTCCTAACAGCAGCACTCAAACAGAAAGCGGCAGGCAGGATCCAATCTGATTATGATTTGAAGGAGAGAAGAAATGGGAGAAGAGAATAAAGGGAGAACAGAAGGATGTTTGGGTTTCTTAACACCAAAATTTTCAGTTTTGTGACCATTCCATCATGTATCTTAACATAAGCACTAAACGCTCACCAAGACTGAAAACCAAAAATGAAAGAACCCCAGTGGCTCACCTGGTTTTACTTCTGCTTCCTCTTTTTTTTCATCATCATCATCATCCCAGTTATCCTAAAGAAAAGGACCTCTATTAATAATTCTCGCATGTTTACTTTTTTCCGTGTGCACATTATTATCAACTTTTCTAACTCCACGGAAACAAGCTTATTAGAATTTTTTTGGTATTGCATTAAAATTATAAATTAAATGTTGGGAGAACAGACATCATGATGTTGAGCTACCCTAGCCAAGGAAAAGGTCTGTCTTTCCATTTGTTCAAGTTTACTTGTTTTAAAGTTTTTCTCTTAGGGGTGCGTGGAAGGGTCATGATCCTAGGGTCGAGCTCTGGGTCAGCAGGCTCTTTGCTCAGTGGGGAGCCTCCTTCTCCCTCTCCCCTGCCCATGCTTTCTGTCTCAAATAAATAAATCTTTAAAAAAAAATAAAGTTTCTCTCTTAGAAGATTTGTGAATTTCTCTTTAGGTACATTCTTAAAAATTTCTGCATTCCTACTGTAAATATGGGTTTTTTCCTGTTATGTCTTCTAACTGGTTATTATTTGTATATATGATTGACTTTTATATGTTAATTTTATATCCTGCTACCTTATATTTGAATTTTTTTTTAATTCATTTATCACTTTTCATTGATTACCTAGGGTTTTCCCAGTGTAAATGAGAATAGCTTTACTTCTTTACCAGTTCTTTTTTTTAAAGACATTTATTTATTAGAGAGAGAGAGCAGGGATGGGGGGAGAGAAAGAGTCTCAAGCAGACTCCCCACTGAGCACGGAGCCTGAAGCCCCAGATTCCATGACCCAGAGATCATGAGCCAAGCTGTAACCAAGACTTTGACACTCAACCGACTGGGCCACCCAGATGCTCTACTTCTTTACCAATTCTTATGCCTCCACAACTGATTTCTCCAATTACACTCACTAAACTCTTGTACACTGTGAATGGTAGCAGTGATAATGATGATTACCTTCTTCTCTTACAGAAATACCTCTAGTGTTTCCCCATGAAGTGTATGCACCCCACAGTATTTATGCAGTAAAATTTATCAATCTTTTCTTGCCTGTGGATTTCAAGCCAGCTTCTTCTAGAATACATACACTTTCATTGTTTTTCAACAAGATCTCTGGTCCATGTGGAGTTTTTTCTCTGTGTGGTATGAAGTATGGATCTTATTCTATTTCCAAATGGTTACCCAACTGTCACAGCTTCGGTTATTAAAAAGTCCACCTGAGGGTGCCTAGATGGCTCAGTGGGTTAAGCCTCTGCCTTCGGCTCAGGTCATGGTCTTAGGGTCCTGGGATTGAGCCCCACATCAGGCTCTCTGCTCAGCAGGGAGCCTGCTTCCCCCTCCCTCTCTGCCTGCTTGTGATCTCTCTCTCTGTCAAATAAATAAAATCTTAAAAAAAAAAAGTCCACCCGAGTCCAGTGATTTGCCATGTAGTAAATTTTCACAGGTACTTGGTCTATTTCTGCTTTCTATCCCATCCGGCTATTTTCACTTCATGCCCCAATACCATACTGCTTCCCTTACTTTAATTATAGTATGTTTTTATATAGGCCAGGGCTAGTCCCTCCCTTATAGATTTTCAAGCTTTTTAGTATTTTCCTAGACATTCCTGCATGTTTGTTTTTCCGTATTAACTTTTATATCATCTTGTCTAATTCTATAAAAAACCTTCCCTGTTAACAAAACACAAGATAACCAAGCCAGAACTACTTCTCTTAAAGTAATTTGCAGCTGCTTTAAATAAAAAAACTAAAAGGACTTTATATTTCTTACTTTCTCAAATGCAGTGGTTTGGGGCTCCTAGGTTAAAGCCTCTGCCTTTGACTCAGGTCATGATCCCAGGGTCCTGGGATTGAGCCCTGCATCGGGCTCTCTGCTCAGCGGGGAGCCTGCTTCCCTTCCTCTCTCTCTGCCTGCCTCTCTGCCTACTTGTGATCTCTGTCAAATAAATAAATAAAATCTTAAAAAAAAAATCAAATCAAATGCAGTGGTTCAATTATTTCAAGTATTTCATTCAACACAACCCTGATTAATGAATTAAATCCATATAATATTTAAACCCAATATTTAAAAGCCGTCAAGAGCTGATCAATAGCTTCTTGAACTCACTCCCTAACTTGGGTGGGGCACTTTAAGGTGGATCTATACTCTAGTCTTTTCTACACCTAACAGAGCCACTAAATATAAACTGATTATCAAACAATTTTCCAAAGGCTCCACAGATTTGGAATGTTTAAATTTACTAGGGGCAGACACAGCCTTGTATTTAGATAGGGCTTTAATCTACAGGTAGCCTGGCCATTGTCTCAGCAACTACCATTTGAAATGTAAATGACATGCCATTTGAAGCTGAACCACAGGATTGCAGATGCAAAGCAAGAGGCCCTGATGGGACTGGAGGATATAGAGGGTGACTAATGAGCCTAACTATGACACCAAGCTTCTGTTTTATAACAAGACAGGTCATAATCTGAATCAGTCTAGGTATTTAAACTAACCAAGCCTTGATTTTAATAAAAATCCACCAAAGAACTAAAAGACTTGTAGACTGCCATGTGGTCGACAAGCAGAGTAGAAAGAAATTTGTAGAAAAGTAAAATATTTTGGGATGCCTGGGTGGATCAGTCAGTTAAGAGTCTGCCTTTGGCTCAGGTCATGATCCTAGGGTCCTGGGATCGAGTCCTGCATCAGGCTCAGTTGGTCAGTGGGGAGTGTGCTTCTCCCTCTGCCTGTCACTCCCCCTGCTTGTGTTCTCTCTCTCTCTCTCTCTGACAAATAAATAAAATCTTTAAAAAAAATAAAATAAAATATTTTCATAATCACCTTACCCTGGCAATTTAGCTTACAATTCAAGGTTAACAGACTGAAAGCAAACCTGCTTGTCACTGTTTGGACATCTAAGATACGTCAATTAGAAATTAGACAGCAAATGTTTATGTAATTTCACCGGTTTGCTTAAGTGCATGTTATCAATACACCACAGTACAAAAGTAACCCTAGAGCTAAAAATAAAAATTAACTACCAGGAATTTTTTTGTTGTTTTAAACTTCACAGAATATAGAAAGCTGGGTCTGTGAGTGGGTCTTCAGACAGGAAGACCATTTGCTGACTTCAAAGGGGTACATACTCACCTCTCTCTACTAATAACAGTGATGATGATGATGATGATAAAGTATTTATCAAGTGCTTACTTTTCATCAGGCACTGTGCAAAGGGCCTTACATGTAGTAACAGTTAACCCTAACAAAAGTTCTGTAAATAAGGTGGTGCTATCCCTATTTTATAGATAAGAATATTAAGGCCCTGAGACAGCTATCCCAAAATCTTAGTGAAACATAATGAAGGATGAAAGAACCAAAACAAACAAACAAACCAACCCTCCAAAAAATTAAGGAACCACTTCTAAATGGACAAAAGTTCCTTTAAAGTGTAGAAACATAACTTCTTACCTGAACCCTGAAAAGTATACAATAACTATCTGAGATTTAGGTCTCTCCCCCACCAAAATGTGTTCTTTCAATCAGTTCTGGAATAAGTCCCCCTGGAACTGCAGGAAAGCTCATCAAAGAGAAGGGTATGGCATACGGTATCATGCCCAGCTACAATTCTATCAGTTACCTACCTCAAATTGCCTGTGATGATTTTCTACTAATTTTAAGAAACTCGTCTAGCAGCCTCTGGTAGTAGGGGGTCAAGAGGGGAGAAGTATGGCTAAAAGTGAGTAGCTCCATCCCAGGACATCCAAAAATGGAGAAGCAGATCCATCAGGGGAGCATTTCTCAGTTTCCTCCCCCAGTAAAACATTACCCCCACCCATATCACTGATCCCTCAGTATCTCATTTATACCAACTCTATGTACCACACCTTTATCCCTGTTCCTGGTTTCCCCATCAAAGCATAAACCTTATTCCAGACATTCAAGTTAAACTGTCCCATCAGTGTAGACATAATGAGGCTACCTGGAATTCCACCGCAGAATGGATTTTAGAAGCTAAAGCTGGTTCCTACAGAGTCCTAGGAACAGCTATGGCACCTGCTTCTGCATTCATAAAAGAACCATGAAAGCAAGCCTTGCCTGTCACCCTCACCCCAGAGTACTCAAATCTTCCCTGAAGTTTCTACCACACCGGGGACAAGTCCCTAAAGAAGGGAGCATAATGATGTTAACAAAGAGACTAGTCACCCTTCCAAAGAGAGTAATCCCAAAAGCAGGTCAGGCAGTTTTCCCCATGAACTTAAAAGTTTTTGTTTTCTTAGTTATAAAATTTGCCAAGTGCCCAAAAAGTACATGTAAGGTAGAATGTCGAAATCTGCCCAATTTTCTATAAACACTCAGACTTTGTAAATCCTCACAATAACTTCAGATAAAATTCAAAAAAACGTTCTTCGGGAAACAACTAAAATTAACACATTTAAGTAGCGATTAAATCTGTACTTCAGTAAGCTCTAAATGGCTATTTGGTTCCAGAGACTACCTGTCAATAACCAAATAAATTCCTTACCCAATTATTTTTGGTAGGTAATAAATCTGCTAAATATAATATTCAATTTGTCTTTAAAACAATCATCCAGGTTGCTCTTGTGAAATGGCTAGCTTCCTTAAAACAGAGGCGGTTTATAAACTACTTATCTATACTCTTCTACAATACACACCCAACATCATTTGAGCCATTTCTCTGAAAGAGTTGACTGCTTTTCAAGTTTAAAACCTGCTACCTGGGGCGCCTGGGTGGCTCAGTCGTTAAGCATCTGCTTTCTGCTCAGGTCATGATCCCAGAGTCCTGGGATAGAACCCCACCCCTCATCAAGATCCCTGCTCGGTGGGAAGCCTGCTTCTCCTTCTCCCACTCCCCCAGCTTGTGTTCCCTCGCTCACTGTCTCTCTCTCTCTCTCTGTCAAATAAATAAATAAATACAATCTTTAAAACAACAACAAAAATAAAATCTGCTTCCCAACTGAACAGGACCAGAAATGAAAACAAAACAAAAATTTTATATCCTGCTTTTTAAAAATTCCTCATAATATAGCCAGTAGTTGGCTAATCTGTCA